GAGAGAGAGAGAGAGAGAGAGAGAGAGTGTGTGTTTGTGTGTGTTTAAGTGTGTATGTGTGTGCAGGGGGTGGGGGGGGTACATTGACCCCAATACATATTGACTAAACGAAAGGTACTTGGGCCCTCTTGTCTTGTCACAAAAGTACAAAAGTGTGACAAAAGTGTGACAAAAGTGTCACAAAAGTGTGACAAAAGTGTTGAAACGAACCAGGTCTTGCTTGTCCGTAAAAAATGGCGTAACGTAAAAACACCAATCGTGAGTCCCCGGGTTCCTCACCTTAGATATATGTAGTGGCGAGTCCGTGCCGTCCCCTCCGTCCAGGGCAAACCCCCAGGGGTTACCGCCCTTGAGGGTGACATCAAAAGGTCTCCGGCCCTTAGCCAGAAGCTGTTGGATCTGAGAATTCGCGACCGGTGACGTCACGCCTTCAGCACAGACTTCAATAACTTCCTTCCCTTCCACAGAAATCTCACCTCCTCCTCCTCCACCTCCACTTCCAACACCATTACTACCACTTTCAACACCACCTCCATCAACAACTGTAACACTACCAACACTAAGACCACTACCACTATCAGCACCACCATCCCCTGTACCACCACCACCACCACCAACACCAACACCGGCACCATCCATCGCTGCAGTGAGCGACACTTTCTTAAGAATTTATCGTATCCATCAATAGAACAAACACACTTGTAGGCCTAGGTAAGAAAGAACAATTTTAATCCGCAACGAATTTACACAAACATTAATCTAGATGTAATACCATTCGACGAATATAGATCTATTTCTCCTCTATCGAACACAGAATCTCCCATCTCTCTTTTCCCTCTCTTCTCTTTACACATCTCTCTATCCCCGCTCCTCTCTCTCTTTCTCTACACATCTATCTCTCTTCCACTTTCTCATCAGCACGACACAGCAGAGCACGATGCTAGGCTAGGGGCTTGACTTCCCAAACGGTTATCCAAACGTCAAACGCGCCCGAAGTCAGCAAGCAACTTTTGAAAAGTTTTTCCACCGAGCAAAAGCTTTTGATAAGGTATCGCTGAGCCGTTACATTGCAGCACAGCAGACAGACACACACACACACGACGCACACACAGAGAGACACACACATTCAGAGCCCCCTCGCTGTTGTCGTCGTCGCCTCGTCCCATCGTCTGTCGTCTGCCACTGCACTCCAGCAAGCCAGCCAGCCAGTCAGTTATTCCTGAGTCCTGAGTCCGTCAGACCAGGCAACAGGGCGAAGTTCGCGCGCGGCGACGCCACTGACCCGAGACTAAAACCTCCAAGCGGAAGTTGGTTTTGCTTCGTCGTGCCGAGCTTTATTAGAACTTTTTCTTCTCATTCTCCCACGAGAGCCCCGCGCCGTATAGATCTACCGGTTCTTCATGAATACCCGCATCAGAATGATGTAAACATGTTTTAGCCCAGCAAATTTCTCTGGAGAGAGAGAGAGAGAGAGAGAGAGAGAGAGAGAGAGAGAGAGAGAGAGAGAAAGAAATAGGAGGAGGAGTTTGTTTGTTGTTTTGTTTTTTTTCAACAGAATTTAGAATTTGAATTTTGATAAAATATTAATTCTTAGGCATCAACACAAGTCAGTTTCAAAGAATAACAAACTGCAAACTTTTTTTTAATTCAAAATTTTTGGCTTAGCCCATCTGTACAGCTAGCCGACGACCCGTTCCGTTCCTTACTGCTCTCCTTCCACCCGTCCGTTGTTCAGTCAGACCCTCCCCCCC